TGTGTGTGTGTGTGTGTGTGTGTGTGTGTGTGTGTGTGTGTGTGTGTGTGTGTGTGTGTGTGTTAACAGCTTTATTGTTGCAGAGAAGAACTGTAAATAACCTTAAATCTGTTTTTTTACCGTTCAATTCAACCCTAATCRWAGCTGATCTGAAACAAACTGTAATRTCTGGGTTCTGATTGGAAAACTAAATCATTTATTCACTCACTGTGTAAATAAAAAAACAACCAATATCTGTTTTCTACTAATTAAAGCAGCTCTAAAGGTTTACTAACAATCAACAAACTGAGAGTTAAAGCAGAAAGTCAAACTGCTGATCCTGTCGTTTCATCAGATTCTAACGGGAAGTGCTGCCACCTCGTCTGTCAGACATTTTGTTTGTTGAATCGAAGGAAAAAAAAAAAGGTTTTCAGTAAAATAAAGTTGAGCCTGATTGTTATTAAAGTAATTAATTAAAGTATTGATGGTGGTCAGAGCTGGTGCATGGCAGCCCCGCCCAAGAGAAGCTATGGCTGCTAATGTAGCTTTAATGTAGCTTTTTCTTCTTCCATGTGAGTGAATGACTGAAGTGTAAAGTGCTTTGAGGTYKATATARACTTAATAAAGCGCTATCTAAGTTTAATTTACCATGTAAAGTTTCTGTCACACTGTTTTAGACAACTTATGAACATTTAAAGACTTCTAAAGACAGAACTGAAAAAACCAACTGGAAGCTTCTTTTAGGCGTGTACTGTAATTCTAACAAACTGATCAAATATACAAGTTTTATTAGTGATTTAGACATAAAACATGTTTCATAAGTTGTGTAGTGACAGGGCCTTACAGMAGGAGTCACCACAGACACACAATCTTTATCAGTGAACTCTAACTCTTACACAATGGTTTCTTTAGAAAACCAACAGGAGTGCAAAGGTTTACTAAAAACATTGGTATCAAATTATTCATCAAACAAATGCATCTTTAGTGTTTATAAAAATAGAAGCTGTTACTTTAGCTGCTCTGTAAAAACAGTCTTTGTGTGAMTTTACTTTGTTAGATACGTGTTATTTTAATTTGTTTTTATCTACTAACGGTTGGATCTTTTCATGATTTGTTGCTCCATGCTGCTGTCAATCATCTGTGTGACTGACCACAAAGTTTCTGAAGATGTTTTGATTTTTACAGAAGGGTGGGTTGAGTCCTCGGTCTGTCCTCCAGAGGACTGTGTTGGACTGGTCCTGCAGGATCAGTGGACCCCACCATTGTAGGACCTCCCAAACATGTCTGTCTCCAAAAAATGTGTCGAGACAGGCTGCTTGTACAGAGGGTTGGAGGCCTGAAACACACAAACACATCATTACAGCAAAAAGCAAACACACACAATATTGAGTTTTTGATGAAACAGCTTCCTTAGATACAGCAGGTAAAATAAGTATTGAACACGTCACCATTTTTCTCAGTAAATATATTACTAGAGGTGCTAATG